TATCAAACCTTAACCTCCCAAATATGCACGTTAAAGTAACGCGAACTGACAGCGTCTAGGAATTTGAATGAAACCTGTCGGATAATTTATTGGGGCTGTTATAACGCGTCTTCCTCAATGTAGCCTTTATCGCCCACCCCTTAACCACCTTTATCTAGAGACGAGACGCGTCAGATTAGAGCAACATCCAGCCGACACACTTAGGTTAAAATAGAAAACTAAAATGATACATATGACACACTCATATCCTCTCTCCCACCTCACTTCGTTAACTTTGCGTATACTTGATGAGGTCCGTAAAAAACCTGTGAATTTTCTTTTCATTCTTCATTTCAGCTTTTGGAAGTAAAGTCTGATGATCCAGAACCCTGTTAAAGTGGTTATGGTGAAATAGCTTATTACATGGAATCTTAACGTAGTCTGTCTTTTATTCAAATATATATATATATATATATATATATATATATATATATATATATATATATATATATATATATATATACCCGACTATTGCGTCAAATTCGACCTATGATGGTCAAGCAGATCAGTTCCCAGGAAATCGACAGCCCGATAACAGCACATGAAATTTGATTATAGTGGTGAAGTTTTCGTGCATGACAATCCACACTTTTTGAAGGGCCGAATACAGAGACCTGGTGCACTACGTGCCACAAGGTCTCCAAACGTCCTTGTGGCACTCCAAATCTTATATATATATATATATATATATATATATATATATAAGATTTGTGAGATTTTTCTTGCTTGTTGTATCAGTTTTTCAACCCAGTTTTACTTTCTGTGACTTGCATTAGTCAAATACATATGTCAAATGATGACCTTTGCACATAACGTGTAATAAGACTATATAACTATTAAGAACGGCAGACATTTTAGTCGATTAATTTTAATAATCGACTTTTCCAAGTTACGAATACTCTTTCTCAAACAAGGAAGATATTCCGCCAGAAATTATCCGAAGTTCATTTCGAATGAAAAGTACAGGAAATATTTGTTTTAATCATTTATCACCAAGCAAGGCGAGAATGCCACTAAGACGTACGATTATAGGTCTTCTTCTGAAATGAACTTCAGACAATTTCCTTCTTGTCTGAGAATGCGTATTCATAACTTAGAAAAGTCGATCATTAAAATTAATCCATATAAAATGTCTCTCGTTTTTAATATTATTTGCCTTAAAGAAAATTTGCCGGCTTGATACACAGACTATATATAAACATATGTGTGTGTGTGTGTGTGTGTGTGTGCTAGTATTTTAGCTGTTACTATGTTCTCCCAACCACCACACATGAAAATCAGGTTGAAAGCTAACAACCCCTCCTCCCCTACATATGTATGTAATATCATATATCCCCAGAGAATAAATCTTCTAGATCAAGCGTCTAGACTTCTTGTTATCTTTTTTTTTTTTTTTTTTTTTTTTTATATTCTGGATAAATTTAAATTTAAACCATTTGTAATTTCGGTCTGATTTGGGTGTTAAAAACTTACCAGTTGAAATAAATTATAATTTATAACCGTGTTTTCGATGATGCGTTAAGTTTTTCCTTGATATATATGTAATTAATTTTAAAAAAATATGATTCCATCACGACACAGAAATTACTATGTTTCGAAACTGGTCATCCATATTCAAGTTTAATTTCAATATTACACCTTATTTATACTTTTGAAATGGAGGTTTAATCTGGGGTTAGTTTTAATTATCAAGGGGTCTCTGTTTTGATGGAAGTAGGGGTGTTTGTTATATGGCAAGTTTTTGGAGACAAGTTGGGTTGTTTTTTTTTTTTGTCTGGCTACAATGAATAATTCTATCAGGCTCCATTGTTGTTGTTTTTTTTTATTACTATCTGCTAAAACTCTAACTGATTGATCATGTAGCGCCGGTCCTTTTTGCTGTTTATTTATTTGTTTTTTTTTTTTGTTTGTTTGTTTTTTGTTGTTAACGTTTTTCTAAAGGGGCGTTAAGATTACGATTGGGCTGTATTTTAAACCCTATTGTTTTAATTGAATTTGTTAATAGATTTTATATGGTATTTTGTAATTTTTGTAATAATATCAACACACACACTTATTTAGTATTAATTATATTCATCAGAAAAATGTATCAAAGACATTTTGCTGATTGTACCTAGCACTATTCTCATTAAACAATGCTTAACTTCTGTATTCAGCAATATGTGTGTGTGTGTGTGTGTGTGTGTATATATATTTAGTCACCAATGATTTTTTAAACTAGTTTTATTAAATAATACCAACAAGGTATGTCTGTCCAGCTGTAATAACAGTCGAAATTACTCGGATTAATACAATATACATGAATGCAATCAATGGATGGATACAATATTATACGCGGCTACATGAATAAATTCGTAGATTTAAGATGAATAAAGTTGTTTTTTTTTTCCAATTTACTAATAATAAACATCACTGTAGCCTTCTTGTTTTATACGAAACGTTGATGACGAAGAAAGAAAAACGCGTCATGAAAATAGATAAAATGGCGTCGATTGCTTCACATTTCTTAAGTATTCCGATTGTGAGACAATTTCGCCAAGAACTGATACTTTTAGAAAAAAAAATCTACTTTTAGAAAAGAATCCAGTATATATGCTTCCCTGGACTCTTCAAAGATAATACCTTCAATCGTTATCCATCTTTATCCTCATAATCTTCACTTCCTACCACGCCCTCTTTCATTGATATCACACAAATAATTCTTCATAACCCCTTTAACTTTATACCTTGAGTGGCTTTTGAGGCTTGAATTGGGTGCATATGAGTTTTAAAAATGCTGTGCTACACAATCTTAACATATCGATTATATTCAATGATATATTCCCGGCGGCAGAAAAGAAATATTGGCCCTGCATCCGAAATAATCGATTATTCTATCAATGTCTCTTCAATGTTGATAAAATTGCTTTATTGCATTTTTTTTTCATATCTCTGCTTGCAGGTATTGTATGTGGGTGTCTGTACATGCGAGGGAGAGTGTGTGTCTGTATCTGTGAGGGTCTGTATCTGTGTGTGTTTGTTCATGCATTTGAGTGTGTGTGTGTGTGTGTGTGTGTGTGTGTGTGTGTGTGTGTGTGTGTGTGTGTGTGTCTTAATATTAGCTTGCGCCGAAGCATGTGATCCTTTGATTATGCAATCCCCTTCTACCATTGTCATGGTGCTTATTGATTTCTTCTCAATTTACTTTCTAAATCTCAGAAGATGAGTTTATTTTATTCTTGGTTTTCTTAAAATATTTTATATTTGGCCCTTTCATTTGATCTCCATTTTGTCTTTTATCACTTTTTTGCTACTTTCAGTCAGTCATTTTCACTTTGCTACAACCCTTTATTATTATTATTATTATTATTATTATTATTATTATTATTATTATTATTATTATTATTCCTCCCTTCTTGCATTCGTTGTTGGTTTAGTCTTTGTTACTTTCATTTTTACCAGCTTTCTTTAGTTTAAGCATCTTTCTTGCTTAATTCTTTTTGATTCATTTTTTTCTGTCTTGGGTTCAATCTCTTTCATTCTTTATAAATTCTGTTTTTGTTCGTTATTTCTTTATTCATTATTTGTTTTTGAAATTCAATCTTTTTTTCTTTGGTTCATTTTTTCATTATGTTTTTCAATCTTCTTTCTTTAATACAGACTCAATTGTTCCTTTCTTTTGTCTTTTCTTCTTTTTATTTTCTAGTTTAATTATTCTTTGATCCGGGTTTCTTTGTGTTTTCTTTCATTCTTTCTTTCGTCCTTTCTTTCTTTTGTCATTTTTGTTCATTTTTCTATTTCAACCAAATCTTGATTCTTTCTTTCTTTGATGCAATCTTGTTTCTTTCTTTGTTTATTCTTTACTTAGTTTAATTTTCATTCTTTCCTTATTTCCTTTTTTTGTCCATTTTTTCTTTCTTTCTTTCCTTCTTTCTTTGCTGTAATCTTTCTTTCTTTCTTTCTTTCTTTCTTATTTACTTTGTTCAATTTTAATTCCTTCTTTCTTTCTCTACTTTCCTTGATGCAATCTATTTTTCTTTCTTTCTTTCTTTCTTTCTTTCTTTCTTTCTTTCGTCAATACTCGTGTTTTTTTTTACTCATCGATTTCCTTATATATCAATTTATTTTTATTCCCTTTCAATTCTTTTATTCATATAATAGCCCCCATTCAGCCACTAACATTTACCTTAATTACTGACCACCGATATTTCGTTTCTTATTGATTCAGTGCATTTATATAGTACAAAATTTTGGATGGCAGTCCCACAGTAAAATGCATTTTCTTTTGTAGAGCAATGCCTTTATATTACATACATGATAGTTCTATATTATCAGTAAAATGAACATTTATTTCTGACCACTGACAATCTATTTCATCTTCATTTTCAATGCATTTCTGTATCGAAATCATATAGAATCTGTTTCATTTTAAAATGATTAGAAATTCACAATAACGAGCAAAAGAAACGAACCCTCTGTGAGGAAAACTTGTGGTCATTCAGGATTGTAAGCAAGTTTCTTTATTCATATGAACACAGTACTAGGTTAGATAAAGACCTGAATGCAAGGTCGCGGCGAAAATATGGCTTGCGAAACTTACATAAAAATCTGGAGCCTTCAGCTTGTGTTGTCTTCTACTGAAGTGCTAATTCATACAGTTATTCGGGTACTAAGTAAATGTAATCGAAGTTGATGCAGTGCAATAAAATGTCACAATTAACCAAAGATCACAGTCGAACACTGCAAAAACTGGCAAAAGGACATCTGTTTCGAACTGAACCGCAAGACTAGTTACAAAAATGCGTTGATTATCTTGGTGAAGGCCTGGTCAGGACGAGGAGAATTTGATGAAACACATTAATGGAAAACAATAAATTTGACAATCTCGCTGGGACTCTTCAAAATATCTGGGGGTTTTTTTTTAAATTAAAATGGCCAGGGAATTGTTGTAAAAATGGATCTATGGAACATTTTTATTCGCACTAGATCCAGAAATGAAAGTTCTTGGAAGGAAATGAGCTTGGTGGAAAAGTGAGCTTTTCTACAAAACGGAAGTAGTGAGCTTGGAGGAAGAGTGAGCTTTTTAAAAAATGGGATGAGTGAGCTTGGAGGAAAAGTGAGCTTTTCAACAAAATGGGAGGTGTGAGCTTTTCAACAAAATGGGAGGTGTGAGCTTGGAGGAAGAGTGAGCTTTTCAACAAAATGGGAGGAGTGAGCTTGGAGGAAGAGTGAGCTTGGAGGAAGAGTGAGCTCGGAGGAAGAGTGAGCTCGGAGGAAGAGTGAGCTTTTCAACAAAATGGGAGGTGTGAGCTTGGAGGAAGAGTGAGCTTTTCAACAAAATGGGAGGTGTGAGCTTGGAGGAAGAGTGAGCTTTTCAACAAAATGGGAGGTGTGAGCTTGGAGGAAGAGTGAGCTTTTCAACAAAATGGGAGATGTGAGCTTGGAGGAAGAGTGAGCTTTTAACAAAATGGGAGGTGTGAGCTTGGAGGAAGAGTGAGCTTGGAGGAAGTGTGAGCTTTTCAACAAAATGGGAGGAGTGAGCTTGGAGGGAAACTGAGCTTTTTAACAAAATGGGGAGAATGAGATTGTAGGAAGAGTGTACTTTTCAAGAAACTGGCGGAAACGGGAACTTTTCAACTCAATCTGAAGAAGGAGCATGAAAAATGAGTGAGCTTTTCAAGTAAATGGGAAGAGTGAGCTTACGGGAAGATTTCGCTTTCTAACAAAATGGGAAGAATGAGCTCGGAGGACGCGTGGGCTTTTTAACGAAATGTGAAAAGTGAGCTTGGAAGAAAAGTGAGCCTTTCAAGAAGATGGGAAGAATGGACTTTCTAGCAAAATGGGAAGAGTAAGCTTGGAGAAAGATTGTGCATTTGAACAAAATGGAAAGAAAGAGGTTGGAGGAGGAGTGAACAACAAAATGGGAAGAATGCGCTTGAAGGAATATTGAGTTTTTCAAGAATGTGACAAGCATGAGCTTGGTGGAAGTGTGAGGTTTTCAACTAAATTGGAAGAGTGACGTTGGATTAAGATTGAGCTTTTCATGTAAATAGCAAGAGTGAGGGATAGTGAGTTTTTCAATAAAATAGGAACATAGGTTATTAAATGCCAGAAAAATATTATTAAATTGTAAGAAATGTTGGGAGCTTATAATGATTTTTACTTATACAAGATTTACTAATTAACCCATAGCTAGTGAGAAAAGAGGTGGATTCGTAGCATTCCTTGGGATATTTGCGCTTAAGTCAATATAACGGGCCGACTGAAGAGTGAGTTTGGAGAATAGGATGAGGAATATGGTAATGTTACAAAGAATGAGTCAACAAGAAATTATTAAGGGGCATGGAATATAAAAGCATACAGCCCAAATCACCCAGAAGAAATATGCTGGCGTTGCGAGAGTTTAAGATAAGAAAACGTCAGGTAGATCTTAAAAATTAGAGAACTAAAATTAAAGAAATCACGTAAGGTTATTAGTATCCAATCCTAAATTAACAGATCGTCTAGTAATAAATGAATGCAGTATTACTACTGAAGTATTAATCCCTATACTGAGGATTCTTCTTCTTCTTCTTCTTCTTCTTCTTCTTCTTCTTCTTCTTCATCTTTGTGCCGTGTCCCTTCAGGACGTTGACGATCATAGCTCTCCACAATTTCCTGTCCATTGTAGCGCTTAGTGACTTTTGTTTTTTGAAATATTCGGACACTAGTTTGAGCAAGTCTGCTAAATATTTAGCCAATTCATGTTGTGCTGGACCCATCATAGATAAGATTTGTCGCAAAGACACATCGTTTTTACGAATTTTTAGCAACCCTTATAACCTGGGACTTTGAAAACCTGCAGATCTATTTCGGTTGTAAGTGTCTTTTCATATGAAATTGCTTTTATACACACACCTAACACAAACGGCTCTGGAGTTTTACTTCCAGTTTGTCAGTGCGATCATGAATTGAAGACGGACCAATTAACCAAAACTTAGAAGAATCACTTAGATTGACATTCATCTTATTAACATAGACACTTTTATTCAAAATGACTATACCAGCACCATTATCTACTTTTATGATGTAAATGTCGTTAATGGTTTGATTTGTGAGTGTGGCGCCACACAACAATATCACGTTCAATAGGTAAAGAAGCATAGTCATATGCTATTTTAGAAATTCTAGATTTACAGAACGCGAATTGATCTGTGGAGGAAGGAATATGGCGAATAAGACATTATTTATATATATATATATACATATATATATATATATATATATATATATATATATATATATATATATATATATATATATATATAGAGAGAGAGAGAGAGAGAGAGAGTTATTCCTACCAAGGTTTATGTTTGAAGACAAAAGCGGATCGTCAGGGCAGCCTTCCTGACGATCCGCGTTTGTCTAACTCTCTAGGATTAACTAGGTCTGCATTTATTGGAAATATTCTACTCATTGTATTGAGCACTTTTATTTAGTTGTTTTTTTGTATCGGGGCTTTTTTCCTCGTATCGGGGACATGATTCAAAACAGGCCGCTTTTTTTTTTTCCCCTTTGGACCTTGGCTTTTTATTTGAAAAGAACTGGAGTATCGGTCGCGAGCAGTACCGACTTATAAGATTATTATTAACGGTTAATAATAATAAATGAATTTTACTTTGGTTATTTGAAAGTGAATTTATTTTTTTATGTTTGAAACAATTTTGTGTTAGAGGCTATTAAAAAGAACAGTAATTGTTTTGGACCACGGAGGGCGCCTTGTTTTGGGCTTTAAAAGTCAAGACTAATTAGCGGCTGAGGCTGTTTTTATTTGTCACATCACTGAAAATTTTGTTTTTTTTCACCCTCCCTAACCACCCGCCAACTTAAAAAAAGGGAATTTAGGAAATATCGGTAGAAAATGAGTTAATTTTTCTTTGGTTTATTAAAATTGTTAAAAAAACGGAAAATTTTCCGAGAAAGAGTATAGCGTTTTTATACTTATAAGATTTCTATTAATGAAAAATAAATAATTTTAAATAATAATAATAATAATAATGGGGGAATAATAACCCGGTGGAATTGACCTGTCAATATTGGGTAATAATAATATATATATATATATTTATGCGCCGTTATGGCAAAGAAATACGACTTTTTTAAAAAGCCGAAAATTTATGGCGTCAATAATTCTCAACAAAGAAGCAAAAAGCCAGTCCGTTTTGTTTGGACTGACGGAGATGAGTGAACAATAATTCAAGCCGAAGGAAGAAGTTTGGAAGAACAGTCAAGGACTAATTTGTGACAAAGTCCAGGGCAAAAAAGAACCCTAGAAGAAGTCATTTTAGCCCAAGTCGAAGACAGAAGAAAGCGGATTTTGATGAAGAAGAAATTCAGTGGAGCTGAAGGAGTTGAAGTTAAATACAATTTTTTCGGGAAGAAGAAAGAAATCCTCGAAACAAGAAATATTGGAAGTTGAAGACAAGAAATCTTCCACCGAACAGAAAGAAATACCGTGAAGAGCGAAATCTTTGAATGAAGCAAGTCCCTGAATCCCACCAAGAAATCTTCCACTGGGTTGAAAACAAATATAGCAGAAGAAAAGAAGAAATATTCAACGAATGATTTAACAACTGAACCACAGTCGGCGACATAATCGCATTCGGATGAATATTTGACACTGATTGTGATAGGCTTGTTGCCATAGTCAGGCAGAGGCGGGTCCGGGTGGAACAATTTTGTTTTATGTAACGGACTTTAAGATATAAAAGGTAATTCAGAACCCTTTTATCAACAAAAGTTTTAATCTTTTTGCCAGGACCGCGGTCTACCTTGTATCGGCCCCGATCCCTGCCCCCTTTCTGGCAAAAAGACCCTCAAACACAGCGTGGCCCAGACAGACCGGAAATCAAGTTTATGAACAATTGCCTGAAAGCCCGGGAAGAGTTGGGCTGGTGATCATCTGAGTTAGGTTGGGTTGAGAACCCAGGACGGAACGACCAGGAAACAAGCGATATTTCGGTTACAAAGAAATCTTCCACCGAACTGGGCCACCGAATTAAAAGCAAGAAATCTTCCACTAATCGCAGAAACTATTTCTGGTTTATAACAAAGAGAAGACGGAAACAGATCGAACCAAGGTTTTTGAAAGAATGGCAGACTATTTTCTTTTAAGCAATTTGTTTTTGGTGTCGTGAGTTTTATTTTATTTGTGTTTTGCCATTCTTCTGAACCCCACGTCGTGTTGAGTCTGTAGTTCATGTCATTGGTTAATGCATTTAATTATGACTCTCTAAATATATAAATACATTTTGCGTGCAATTTTAATTGTTATTTCATCACTAAAAATCTTCTCTTGTATCAACTTTTACATACCTTCTGGAACAAAATAAAACATGAATATTCTTTACCAAGTGTTACGAGAAGTAGAACTTCAGCCAAAACAGAATCTGCGATCTTTAATTGAAATGTGATTATTGATGTCACATTTGTTAATCATTTCGCTCCAAGCAAAGTAATAATGTCACTAAGAAGCATGGGTTTACAGAGAGCGAAAGAAAAGGAGTGAGGAGAAAGAACAATAAAATAACGGATGTTAAAAAGGCAGATGATAATGACTGACATTGCGTTTAAATTTTTGATGTTTGTAGTTGACATGAAAGCAAGAAACCGGAAGAAAAATATGAGAAAATAAACTCTTAGAATAGAACTCCATTACATCAAACTTTTTCAACAGTAAAATGTTGAGACGCACATGCCAATCTAGTATTAGGCTTAAAGTCTTTAGGCAAAGGTACAGAAAAAGATGGAAAGATTATCAGAATAAATGCCATGAAAATAATTATAGGAAATACTCAGGGAAGCTACATAATGATGTTGGGAACGTGGCAGATATTTATATGCCAGGCGAGGACCGAATAACAAACTCTTCTTTGGATTTTGTTAAGAATCTTGAGATCTATAGCACCAGATCAGATATAGCAACAATTCACGGAGAAATGGTAGAATCATAAATGGGAAAAATGGCTTCTGACGAGAAAAATGTCTGGCACGTCATGGCGAACAAATGTTGCTAGCAGCAGACCTAACAATTAATTCAATATAATCAATCAACTTCATGTCATTCGAAAACCTGAGACCAAGAAAGCGCAGTGAGTTACTCTCTTGGAGGTTGGAATCAGGCATGCTAATGAAAGGCAAGAATGGTCTCTATGATGACTAAAAGACACCTGTTTGAAAACTGCCTGACGATTGCATTGCGCATGAAACACGGTGTTGAGCTACCGGTGAGAAACAGATGTATATTTATTAGTAGTAAAAAATATAGCTTTGTTATTATAAATCGAGCACTATTTTATTAGCACAAACACTCAATGTGCGATATATCTATCTATCTATCTATCTATCTATCTATCTATCTATCTATCTATCTATCTCTATATATATATATATATATATATAAACAATAAACAGATTTGGTTAAATAAATTAGACATGTCATGTCGATTAATTTTCTTTGTGATCCTTTCAAGTTCGTAGATTAATTTCTTGGTAATCTTAGAAAACTGATTAAGAAAAATACCAAAAATTTCCTTTCAATTTATTCACCGAAAAAGAAAGAAAGAAAAGAAACCAGTCCCCCCCGTTTAAAAGTCAATTCGCGTAGTGGATTGGTTGTTACAAACATCCAATCGGGTGCGTGGAAAACGTGGTCTATTTTCGTCCAATTTATTAAAAAGGCCAAAGTCTCTGTTAGCGTTTGATTGCAATGGGGAATCAGGTATTGATCTCCACTGATTGGGTCGGCTTGGTGATGGGGTGTATGATGTTGAAAGACTCGAAACTCCCTGATGAACCAAGTCAATTTACATCAATAACGACTCCCTCCGGCGCCTATTTAAGGGAGTATATTTAAAAAAGTTATTTGGATAAGTTATTAGTGTTGTTAAATATTTAATAGTACTATAATCTGAGTTTGAATATAAAATTAAGTTCAGACATACACTTAGAATTGAAAATTAAAAATTAGAAAATTTAATTTCAGTTTAAAAAAGTCGTCTACGGACGCTGTTTGTAAACAGCCGTTTGAAGTCAAGGGGCGTAACTCTTTTTTTTTGTTTAAAAATTAGTTAATTATAAAATTATAAATAGAAAACATAGGTAAATCGGTAGGCAGTTGTAAAATAATAATAATAAAAGTAAAATAATAATATTAATAATAGTGAAAATAATAATAATATGTCATATTAATAATAATAATAATGATATGATGACATTGTACAATTACATGTACATTTATTTATATTTTATATATATATATATATATATATATATATATATATATATATATATATATATATATATATATATATATATATATAACTAGTTACAACCTCAATGATGCATGGGTATTGAACGGCATATTGCTTGAGAAAGGGCTCAGGATTTTAAGTAAGTTTTAATATAATTAGCTTTCAGGTTTAATTCAAAGATAGGCAAAAAAGTTAGCTTCGGAAGTAATGTATATAAACAGAATTTACCTAGACTGAAAAAATGTAGGTAAATTATAGTGGATGATAAGTGATGCAATTTAATGTCTGATAAAGAAAAGTGAGTAAATGTTGTATGCTTTTTATTTTAAAATGTAATTATTATTTATATTATTTTAGTTTTGGATTCTATATTAAATATTTTTAAGTAATCAAAGGTTATGAACTTAACAGTTTTCTTTCAATTATTTAATATTTTTATAGTCATATATAATGACCTGGGAAAAGAGTATTTATTTCAGGAACAGTGATGCTCATCAGTAAAAGGATGAGCCCGAAATGCGATTTGAATCAAGCAAACGCGGAAGCTTAAATATCTGGGAAGCGTTTTAACAGAGGACGGTAAATGCGACACAGATCCGTAGACGTATTGGGATGGCCAATGACGCATTCCAAAAGCTGGGCAGAGTATTACGAGACAGGAGGATTTCTTTGGTAACAAAGAAAAGAATACTGAGCTCTTACGTGACATCTGTCTTTCTTTACGGCAGCGAATGTTGGACGATTTCCACAAAGTTGAAGAAAAGACTTGAGGCGACGGAGATGTGGTTCTACAAAAGGATGCTAAGTATATCATAGTCTGAGCGTGTGAGCAACGATGAGGTCTTAGAGAGGAAGCAAACAAGGAGGCGGCTTATAATTAATATCAGGAAGAGGCAGCTGAATTATCTGGGACACATAATGAAGAAGGAGGGCATGGAGAATCTTATACTCACGAGTCGAATAGAGGGAAAGAGAGACAAGGGAAAGCAATGCATTATATACCTGGCGGACTTAAGCAAGTGGATAACAGAACGTGGTCTTGGGGAGGAAGCAGAGGGAAGAAACTTGTTGAGAGCTGCAAGGAATAGAGGGAGGTGGAGAGCTATGAACGCCTAAAGAAAAGAAAGATGTTTGAAAATAACAAATATCGCAGATTTATATTTAGAGAAGCTTCGATAGCAGCACTCTCAATAATTTTCCGTCTAAGTAAAATACTTTCTTTTTTAATAAGGCAGCCTTTAGATCGAAGTAATGGTTGATTTTTTTCTATGTATGACTAATGCATTTGGTATATTATTATGTATGTGGCCCTTTTTCTGTCCATAGATACGTTTTACCAATTTTTTTTATTAGACATTAAATTACATCACTTATCATCCTCCATAATTCACCAAAACAATTCAATTAGCCTATGTATATTTCTGAGGCTTCATAAATTTAAAACTTTAGAAGAATTAACGACATTTTTACTTGTGTTTATAAATACTCGCTGCCAAATTAAATCCTTATATTTGCCTTGATAAAGTTCGTCAGTGGAAGCAACACGTCGGTTAAGATATTTTTTGCATTTTTTTTTTTTTTCACATTGTCCTTTTGTAGATTTTATATTTGAAATTTTATATACGTACATACATCTGATCAAGTTTCCTCTTGGGAAACCTTCCTGCTTGATTTGAGATAACGTACACAGCCATATACACAAGGGAATCAAAGAATACGTAGCCTGACAGAATTAATACCTAAATATTGATCTGAAATGTTCACTGTGTAATGTTCGATCTGTGTGATTGGGGAAGAAGCTTTGGCTTAAGAGGCTGTGATGAAAAATCAATAATATTTATTGCGGAAAATAAATCCTTTATTTATTTTTTTTTTCTTCATTATTCGATTAGAGATCGATTGCCGAAACTCGGTATAGTAGGGGGGATCAGAGAGGAGGGGAGGGGAAAAGAGAGTCAAGGAAAGAGAATAGTAATTGTGAAATTTATAGAGAGATGTTGTTCAGTGGAACGTTTACACGAGCTGAATCACGTCATTAGCCAGGAGCTATCAGTGTTGTTGATCAGAGATAACAGGTCTTGTCTGCAAGCTGAAAATCACACACACATATATATATATATATATATATATATATATATATATATATATATATATATATATATATATCAATGTGAATTGGGATAAAATCAAATATTGATCAATTATGTATTATAATCCGACAGAATGATAGGAACAATTAGAAAACATTTATAAATTTAACATATTATATTTATGAAACTTTTTATTTGTTCCTTATCCTATATATATATATATATATATATATATATATATATATATATATA